TGCTGAGTTAAATATGGATCCTAGAGCAGTCGCTGCGCATTAACCACCGTCAATACTGATCAGCACTGACACCACTCTTTTCTCCCACTCCAAAAATTTTCCCTGCATTCCCCGCAGGCTGTGTGATTTTGGAAAGGTATGAAGGAGGATTCAGCCATGCAGAATGGAAGGAGAGACGTCTTAGGAGTGAGAGGGAGCGCCGAAGAGGTGCTCCGACATGTGTTTATGATGAGCGAGTGCAGCAGTCAGATGTGTCTGGCTGCTTTTATCGATGTTAACTAACTAACCGTAAAACAGAGATTGCTGCTCCAGCAGCGGAAGCTGTTTTTCTCCAAAGACAGCTCACGCAACATCAAGCGTTCATATGAGATTGGACTCGAGCACACAAACACACACTTTTGCTCTCGTACACATGCAAATAAGGCAGGTAAATGGACTGTACTTTTTCACCCATATTCATACACTCATGGCAGAGCTCATCACAAACAGAAAGTAATACTGGCACAGACTCTGGAGCAATTTTGTGTTCAGTTTCTTGCTCAAGGACACACCAACATGCACTGGGAAGAACCAGGGTTTGAACCGGCAACCTTCTGATTGGTGGAAGACCCGCTCTGAGCCACAGCCATTCAGCTGCAAACATGTTGGAGGACCTCTACCCATACTACTTGGGCACATCAAGGATTTGTCAGACGTGGCGGCCACCCCAGTGAAATCAAGGGAGGGACTAAATGGATCAGCACGGGTCCATCTGTCCATGTGTCTGTCCATCTGTCATGTGCAGTAGATCAGATGACAGATTTAGTGAAGAACCTGTGCCAGACCTTTATTCAAAATTCTCACAATTATTGTCATTAAAGTCTAAACCGAGTTGTAAGTCTTTTCTGATTTTTCTTAGTCATCAAATAGATGCTAGTTCACATCTCTGGCCCTTTGCCCGGACAGAAAGTGAGTGATATGTTTATGGAGCACAAAGGGATGGCAAAAATGAAGGGTGCCAAGAAACACAAAGCTGAATGTCTAACCCACAGATATAGACAGTAGTCAAACAGAAGAGTTTTTTTTCCAACAGAGCTGTAGCTACCATTGAGGACAGTCAGTTCATTTCCTTTGTGTTGTTTCTGGGAATCTGAATTAAATTAAATGACACAAGGACACGTCAACATTCTACAATAGACATTTTCACAGCAGCCATTTTCACATGAAAAAGAATCAGAATCAGAAATACTTTATAGTAGTCATCACTTCTGTTTTTGCAGTTTGCAGTTCCCTCCCTCCTCCTCATGTCACCACACTGAAATTCTGCTGCCTGCCTTTGAGGACCACCTCAGTGTGTAGTTCTGTCTCCTCATTGGATAAAGTTGGACCAGGATACCAGAAAATGTATTCTCTGTGTACTGCAGAGAGTAGGGACTGGGAGACCATGTTACTAACTGAACACTCTATATCAGTGATGGCTTTCAGAATGCTAAATCACTTACAGCACCTTTAAATCATAAAAATGCAGGTGGACACTGGTGCACACTGCTGGGTGCATACAGTCCATATGCTCATGCATTTTGGCCACAGTGCAGATGTCCACACTGATATAAGCAGATGACAAAATGTATGTTGTGCTGATCCTTGTTGACTCCATGGCTACGCTAATATGGAAAGTATAAGTTTGCCTATACGCCAGATACGCTGGGTGATACTTCTACTGCCCAATAATTGCTGCTTGCCAGTTTGCTTTAATTTTATTTTGTAACCAGTTTTCTTCCATGATAAAAGCTTTTCCAACTACTGGTTTGATTTAACTGAAATTTGTCCCACTGTCACATCTGCACAATCAGCCTGATCATGCTTTGTCATTAATGAACAGCTTTAACCACATCAGTCACTAAATTCAGAATTTTGTTTTTATACAATAATGTGACATATCTGCACAGCTAGTTCTCCGGTAGCCATAGTCACTGTGAGCTCTGTGACACAACTCCAAACCTTTATAGCCTTAGCTTTGTTTATATTAGGCACAGGAGTGTTTCTCTGGCCAGCTGAGATGTTGTGAGACGCAGCTGAGGAGCCACTCTGTCACACGACGGTTAAATGGAACACTGCCAGTGTCTCACAGGTCAACACTCTGGGGATATCATCATCAGCGTGCGACAGAGTATTTGATTTAATGAAAACCAGCGACTGGCTGCTGTCGCTGCGGCAGACTGCGAGCTGGTTTCCCACAGTGCAGTGCACTCATCTGGAAGCAGGAAGTAAACAAATAATGCCACAGGCCAAACAGCTGGGGACGGTGGGCTGTAGGCAGAGACACAGGAGACTGCTGTGCAGCTTTAGACCGATGAGTCTGCTTGGAGATGTAAGGGCCAATACTGGAGTATTTAAATGAATGAATGTAGTTTGATTCAGTACTTGTGATCATTTTTACTTTTTAAAGCCCCCCCTCCAATCAGAATCAGTGTTTCTTCTTGTTCCTACAGTGTGCTGTTTGAATGCTGTCTGTGCAGAGTCTGACTCTTGAAGGATGTTTTCACATTCATCTGCTGAAAGTGGAAAGTTTCTCTGTGCTCATTGAAAATCAGATTTTTCAAGGGGCGGGGCCTACCAGCAGGATTTGTGACATCACAAATAATTTGGAAGTCAGTCCTGGTCCAGTATCAACTTGTACAGTGTGATGTAGAAACTTATAGCCACCAGTGCACATCCACTGAGAATGGACTTTACAGTGAAGTAGGAGACATCTTGTGTCCAACGGGAAAACTTTATGAAGAAATGAACAACATCTGCATATTCAGAGATTGTGGAGTTTTAATGAGGCAGAAGGAGGAGATGAATTTTTAAGGATTTAGCGAGTGGCTCAGGAGCTGCCCTTTACCCCCTCTCCATTGGCATAGCCTTATGGCTTTGACAAAAATTATCTGAAAATGAATAAATATTTTCATTTATCATTGTTGTAGGCCTAAAGCAGTGGTCAGCAACCTTTACTATAAAAGGAGCCAAACAAACATAAATGAGCCTTATAATGCAAAATTCTCACTGCAAGTTTCCTTCAAAACTTTCTCTATTTTTTGGATTTGTAATCCATAGCTAACCTAACCTATTGAGGTTCTGCTAAATATATCAGACAAGCATAACGTATGAGGCACATTTTAGTTGACGAAATGTTAACATGTTTATTTTATTCTGTGTGACACATTTTTACAATTGAGAATGTAAGAATCACTTTAAGCCTACAACAAAACAATGCTGACTTAAAATGTAAAAAATAACTCATTTATTCATTTGCATATAGTTTTTTGTCAAGGCACAGGGAACCACTGGAGAGGGGCTAAAGAGCCGCATTGGCTCCCTGGCCACTTTTCCACCAAATCAGTTCTGGTTCTTGAACTTGAGTCCATTCAACATTCTTGAAACTTTGTTGCTATCTTACAAGCCAGCCTGCGTTTCCACCAGTTTTGAGAGGAACCATTGTAAGATGTAAGGATATGTCATCAATAGAGTCAATAGAGTGTTGTGAAAACCTGCAAAATTTATTTTTGGGCGAAATATTTTCAACGGTTCCAAACTACGTGCTTGAACCGGAACAGAGCTGGTTCCCTGCTGGAAAAGGCCTACCTGTGGGTGGTTCTGGAGTGTTGAAACCCCATGCCTTCTAGCTAAGTAATCTTTACATTCTCCAGTTGTAAAATGTGTAGCCATTACACACCAAATAAAACAAGTTTTAACATTTTACATTAAAGGCTAAAATATCTGAAAATGTCTTAAATGTTTTTTGGGCCAAAAAGGCCCTCTGATAGTTAAGGTTGATAAGGAAAAGAGTGTGATCAAAATTCAAATAAACCCAAGTTAACTGGTGGTTAGAAACCAGATGTGGCCTCTCATGTCCAACTCACACTTTGTTCGTCCAGACACCCACCTACAATGATTTTACAGTGCTAAAACAACTACTTTCACCTTTGCTTTTGACAGATAGTCATAATTCTCACAACCACTGCAGGATTTATCAAGTAAACATAGGTTGTGTTAAAGCATTTGAACAGCAGTCTCAGATTGAGAAAGCGGGAAAGTATATAAAACAGCCGCCATGTTGACACACGGACACTGCATTTAACTAACTAGAAAACAGAGATCCATCCATCAGGCACACATACTGCATGTGGATATGTTGGAAAATAATCTCAAAGTTTATGTAAAGGGAAGAAAATTCAAAAAACCACAACACCCATTCTAAATAAACTCTGCTGGTATCTCTAGCATTTACATATTCTTATGCCACGTCGCGAAAATAATTGATCAGCTACTGAGAGCAGAAACACTTATTGAACACCAGTGGAGGCTTATTTGTCAAAATTAAGATGTTTGTGATTGGGTTGAAGTCCCGGTCAATTTCCCGTTGACTTCACAAATATCCTACATACACCAGAGAGTAGAGGAAGAGAGGGATCAATAGTGAGCATGGAATCAATATCATCCATGATGAATGATGAATGTCAAGTAATGTGCAGTATTGATACGTGTATTGATACGTGTATTCGCTCTGTTGGGTTATAAATATTGTTGGATCAAGTCCTGGTGATACTGAGGCAATGCGGACAGAAAAACTCTTTCGATGCATTGTGGATCACATCAGGAGGACAAAAAAGGACAGAGAAAAGGATGTAGAAAGAGACTCGTGTGAAAACTGTGTTCAGGAGAATAGTAGCAGGGGGCAGGGGAGGGTGCTGAAGAGAAATAGATTTCATTAGAAATTAACTGACAACAGAAATATATCCCTGGAGCTTTCTTATCCTCACTCTAATTATAACCAGCACTGCCAAATGAAGCAGGAGTAGTTGTTACCTCAATTACTGTGGAAAGATACATATATTATTTGAAATTTCCTTTTAGATAATTCATTGCCGTCATGGGAGCAGGACTGTACGTGGGCTAATTTTTCAAATCACCATCACGCTTGAGGCAAAAGAAAATACATTGAAATGTATTTTTGTTCCTTGTTGTTTTCCCTACAGGTCTGATTCGGTTGCAAGAACTCATAAAGGCGCCCTCCCGGTACAACATCCGGTTAAAGATCCGGCAGCTGCCCGCAGAGACCAAGGATGCCAAGCCGCTGTTAAAGGAGATGAAGAGGGGGAAGGAGTTTCACATCATCTTTGACTGTGGCCATGAAATGGCTGCTGGGATCCTGAAGCAGGTGTGTGTGTGTGTGTGTGTGTGTGTGTGTGTGTGTGTGTGTGTGTGTGTGTGTGTGTGTGTGTGTGTGTGTGTGTGTGTGTGTGTGTGTGTGTGTGTGTGTGTGTGTGTGGACAAATTTGTAGCTGTGTCGCTCCACACACTTGTGCATTCTTAAATCCCTGTAGAGGTGAATCAGTGAGTTCTCAAGTGGGAAATACAGCAGGAGGCAGTTGTGAGAGTCTGAATAGAAGCACAGCTCCAAGAAGACAGCTACCTCCTGTTGTTGCCTGCTAAAGCATCCTTTACTGCGGTGCTTGAAACTGTGGCTTACACTTATATAATACATATAATATATACATATATTATATATACACATATAATATATTTGTACAAATAATACATCCAATTGTCTGCATAATTACATGGAATGTGTTTCAATTTTTAGGATTCAACTGATATTGTATATAAGGTCAAATTGTTGTCTTGCATTAAAAATCAGGTTGCAGAATAAGCATTGCTAACATTTGATAGAATTGAGAACCCTGAATATACATACATATCCTACAAATAACTTTCCCATTAGGTTCACATTAGATAATTCTGTACTGCATCATTTGCATCCAAAGCTAAGCCAATACAGGTAGCATGCTTTTTATGTGCACAATGCACAGAACAAGGTTGTTATAGTTAACTAATAACTAAACTTCAATTATTTGTGAAAAAAACATTTTAGTGAAATAAAATAAAAACAGTGAAATAAAATAAAAATATACAGGAAATGCCTTTGGTTTTAGTCTTTTAGTCTTTATTATTGTTATTGAGACTCAGATGGCTATATAAAAAACTAAATAAGAAAAAAACGAATGAAAAATGATTGCAATATTCATCCTCGCATAGAGATGTCGTTTGCAACACTGTATTCTCTGAAACACCAGGGGGTGTACAAACAATAATAAGCAATTAAATAAGCAAGAAGTCAGCAAGTGTTACTGAAGAATGTCATTATCCAACATGGATGTATCACCAAACATAGCATCTGTGTACTGTAATTCCTGCTTTCCTTCAAATCAGTCAATGCATCTGTTTATGGCTACAAAAGCTACAGTTATGATGAATCTCTTTCTTGAACAATGTTGGAAAACGTGACCAGTAGTGAAGCCTAGGAGAGGGCTTTGCATGTACTCATAGGACTGGAGTTGCATCCAGGAACTACTATTTTCAATTATCCATCTTGAAATGAATAGCACAGCATTCGTCTAGAGTTCAGAGGTGCACGACCAACTGATGACGTCATTTTTTGAGACGATTCGGCGAGCATAAACCAGGTTTAGGGGTATGGAGTTGAGTGGTATTTCAACTAATCATTCGCTAACCCAACTGTTTTAGTCACCTAATCCTAATGATACTTCAACCATAGATTATTTTGAGCCTGGGCCCAAGTTGTCACTTACTTTGGGTCTCCAAGTGTGATACTACGATGGAAGCATGGATGAATAATAAAAGTAGGAGACATAGTTGCTAAGAATAGTTTTTATGTCTAAATAAGGATTCATCTCATTATCCCAAGATAACATAATGTTGTACTTGTGATCATGACTTAATTGTCTGTTTTATTAATGATCATAATCTTAAATTTCCTAATGAGAAATGGTCATGTTGTTTCCCCTGTTAATTGTGTTCTAGCCTCTTCTGGGATCCCTCTTCTTCAATTTGATAGAATCCCCTTGGACAGACCATGATATACAGAAGCCTTTCATCCTTTGATAATGACACACTTACATTGAGATCACAGGAGAACAATGTTTGACATCTCAAGATGATTATACTGTTGATCTCTGAGTGGGCTTTGTTATCTTAAGATAATGGTCACGAGATGATGGTTTCATATTCTGCATAACAACATATCAAAAGATGTAGAGATGGCAGGTGTGGAAATTACCCACAAATAAAAATGTTTTAGTTTGTGCTTGCTGGCCAGTGTCACAATGAGCACCAACATTCTCTTAAATGTCTAAAATTAAGAGACAAAAAAAACACCAAATGTTCTTAACCATCCAAATCTGCTTTTACCCAGGATAGCTCACCTGGTAAAGCATGACAATACATGTGTAGACTGTGAAATAAGCATTTTGTTTTTATCTAGGTTAGGGTGCTCATAAAATCTTCTCTGACCTAAGAGAAGAGCAAAAATAAGAAAACACTGGTGAATCCCAGAAATCAGAGCAAATGTCAAAAACAACTGGATATATGAATATTTAACAGATTTTGATTAGCTTTTTTCGCTCTGTAGTGGTGGGCCTGTTTTGGGGGAAAATATCCCAGGCCACTCCCGCATACAAAAGATTTTATCTTCTAATCCAAAATGAGTGAATTTAGCAGTAAACTGGTCACAAATTACATGCGTACTTAGTCTACAGATTTAGAAGCTCAGTGAGCAAAACCTGCCTCACATTGCCTTAAGGAGCTGCCAGTCCCACCAGAACTATTTTATTAGTGTGGCTCATAAATAATCAATTTTAGCTCCAATAACAGGGTATGAGCTGTTTCTGAGGATTTTCACTCTTGATACGAATAATACTCATTTAATGTTCTGTGCTTGTTATTTTTGCAAGGACATAGTCAAATTTGTATGTCAGTTGCATTGTAGTTTGTCTAAATGCTTTGCCGGTACATTTGAATTTAGCTCTCTATAGAATGTTTTTTCCATGCAGCCCAAGAATGTAATTTGGTGTAAAGGAACTTTGCCATTAGTAACTCAATTAATAAGCATTCACATTTCTCCAGCTTGCAGGATTTATCAAATATTAAAGACAACATGATTCACCCCCAGCACTCTGTTGCTCTCCCAGGGTTTTTAATCAATGCCTGATTGCTGAGGAAGGTCAAGGGCTCCTTTCATTAATAATGTCAGAGAGAAACCCTGCTAATGGGAGGTAATGAAAGACTTAACTGTCCCGCTCTGATATTCTCATTACATGACACACCAATAAGTTAGAGATCGTGAGTACTCTTCATCAGCTAACAGCCAAGCCTTTAGTCCCCTGCTGTATATTTAGGGTTCACACATTCAAAAAAGTTAATAACTGGGAAATACAGGTCAGGAGAGAACATAAAATGTTTTTTGTAAGGGACATAACATTTGGTTGTTAAATAGTTTTAACATATGTTCTACGATAAAATAAGAAAGTTTGAAATTTGAAAGAACACTGGCCAATGGAGAAACTCCAACACTTGGCCGAACAATGGTTTAATTTCATCATTCAGTCAAGGACAGATTTTAACATTTATAAGTCTGCTTTGCTGTGGTCCAACCAACATTCTTGTTCTTTTAAATGCTACAGTGCACTTTACATGAAAATAAATTTGATGAATTTGCAACCATTTTTGCAGAATTATAGCTTCCATTTAAAAGAAGCTATGCATATGGCTTTGATTTGTAGTATACACACAATAGTGTGTTCAGGCCAGCATGACTCCGACATGGCCTTCCTTATATGCAATTTCCTGTAACCAGTGTTGGGTGCAACACATTACAAAGTAACATTACTGTAAGCACATTACATTTGTCTGTAACACATTGCCGTTTTTATTTAAATTACAGTTACTAATAAAACAACGATGTTGTTACTAGCGTTATGTAAATTCTTCAGTAATCTGCTAAATGGGATGATAGAAGAAGAAGAAAACTCCAGAGAGTTTGTTTTTGTTCGGCTCGTTAAATGCATTTCATATTACATTTCAGGTGATGTTGCAAAGGGGCGACTCGTGGCTACCAGTATCTATACTCTAACTTTTAAACGGAACTAGCTACACCCTCTTAAGTGCTCACAAAATCACAGAGAGCTTTTTTTTGCGACACGTTGATAGCTTTGATCGATATTTTCAAATCAAACAGCAATTATAACTGAATAGGATGCCTTTCTCTATTGATTTGTTTTCAATGCCCATAAGTGACATTAAAATAAATTGAAATACATAATCTCTAAAAGGTTTCCAGCACTCTTCTGTCATCACAAGGTCCAGGAAATGGCACCATGTGAGTCACCAGTGAGTGGGCTGGTCCTCAGACAGAATGCTGGAGGCTCTCTCAAGGTTTTCCACCTGATAGTGGCAGACATTATCCCTTCCTGCCTGTCTAATCATCCTCTCCACACAGTCTTAATCTGTGATTCATATAGGTTTAGTGAGTCTCAGCATGACAGGCAGGACTCTGACACCACCATATAGCGTCATATAGCTGGAATAGTGTGGCACACGGCCAGCAGACACAGTCTGGGTGATAATAGAGTAATACAGAGGAGGTGATTCCACTTTAGAATCTCATCTCAGGGGTGCATTTTTAGAGACAGATTGGCTTGGTAATTGTGAGACTGAGTACATATTCCTGTTGGCGAACATGCTACAGCCGCTTGGTGAGATGGTTGGCAATCACAGACAGATGACAGAAGTCTGACTCACACTGAACGAGGCAGCAGTCTTATTTTAATGTAAAATTACATTCATCTAATCAACCTAAAATTGAAAATGGAGCTGCAACAGAGCAAAATGTTGCTTCCCCATTACTGAAGTTTCCCCCTCTGTGCTCAGATTCAGTTTTGATGTTCAAATGACTCCGGCTCCTCTACAAAGCTATGAAACTATTTAATACTGCCATGAGCACAATTTCTATAGTCTGTTGCTATATTGATTCCAATGCTGAGTGTCAAACTTGCAAACAATGTTGTCCATCCATTCATATTTTGCTGCTTCTGGCAAAAGCAAAGTCCTGACGTCCGTCTCCCCAGCCATGTCTTCCAGCTCGTACTCACAAAGTGTTTGCAGGACAGATGGGATATATAATCCCTCCAGCATGTCATTGGCCTACCTAGGGGTGTCCTCTCAGTTGGAGATACCTGGATTACCTCCACAGGGAGCATCCTAAGCAGAAGCCCCAACCACCTCAGCTGGCTCCTGTTAATGTGAAGTCTCCTCTTCACCATGAACATCTGGTTCAAAACCATCTGGTTTGGTATTAAACAAATTTTTCTTTTTGTACCGTACCGAATATCAAAAACTGGCATCGAAAGTCTGATCAGATTCAAAGTAAAGTAAAGTTTCCTTTACTTTGATCAGACGTTTACTGACTTAAATTAGATTTTTGGCTAATCTCAGATCCTTGACTTCTTTTATTATATAAAAGCAGGGCTATTCAATTACAAATTCAATTGGGCCAGATTTTAAGAAATGTAAATGAGCCAGATATTTTATCCATTAAAAAAAAAATTTTTGCTTTAAGTTTGTCTGAAAAGTTTGGTGTTTCTCACTGTGGTGCTTCTGAATATTATATGCTTTACTTCACATTTATCATGGATATAAGGTTTTAACGGGAGCCACACAACCAGCAAACAAGAATTGACTTTAGTGTTGTTGCTATGATGATTGCAATCATCCTAAACGAAGAAATTAAACAAAAAATGCAATATCATTCCCAAACAAATCAAAAGTTCAGTCTACAAATCATGTTAAAGTATCATAAATATTTCAAAGATTAGCCAGACATATAATTCATCGTAATATTTAACAAATCATTAATCATTAGCCTTCATGTCTCTTACCTCCCATGTCAATTAACATAAAGAAACTAGTACTTATATTAAAGGTTCATCAAAAAACACTCTTTAAGGTGAAATGTTTGGAGACAAAGAGGAAGAATTCTAGTCTAGCCCTCTATTTGTAAGGTAGGAAAATGCGGTGTTTTTTTGTGATTGTTGCGGGCAAAAATCCTTGATTATGTGATGAAATATGCGGCATATTTATGCGATGAAATTGCGGGAACTTGCAAAAAGTTGCGGGAACTTGCAAAAATTGCGGGAACTTGCAAAAACCGTGGTTTGATGAAAAAGGGAAAAAAAGTGATTCCCCCAACACCCTGTTCTCACTAGGATACTACCTTAATGTAAAGAGTCATTTCTTATTACTTCCTATGATAAGCAAACATACTACATCACAGAAAGTGCTGGGAATATTTAAGTTCTCATCTTGTTTTATTTCAGACCTTAATAAACACATGGCTCAAACTTACAAAACATTGATGAGTCAAACAAGTTCTGTAGCTTTACAAAAGGAATATGCTACAACTTTTGTAAAAATGATTAAATAAAATATAAAAAAATAAAATGTGTGCTTCCTGTTTTCCAGAGGTAGCTATACAAAACAGACATCTTCTGTTAAAATAATTAATAATTATTTTTGTTGGCAAATGAGACTGATTTACGGGCTTCATCATGGCTTCATCGCGGGGTTTGCAGCTTTTCAATGATGCTCACGTTGCGTAATTACGTCACTTCATAACGTTCCCATGGCAACAGGGGAAAATGGCTGCTATTGTAGTAAAACGCAACATTTTTCAACTTTCTGCTAAGATATATGTGACTTTTTTGCCCACGAAAATTATTATTATAATTTGATTATGAAATCATGCAAGCCCCGCATATTTAGCTCGGAAATCGGCAATTTATGCGGCGAAAGTGCGGCGTATTTGAAAAAATGCGGCCCCCGCATGAATATGCAGACTTTGGCTGATTATGCATTGAAATATGCGATTGCATAATCGCGTTTTTCTGGAGGGACTGGTAGGAGGTACTCACTACTCACCGTTTGCATGTTAAACACATGGAGATTGCGCTAAAATAGAGAAGTACTTGCCAGTCCAGGCAGGGTTGACAGAGACATATTTTCAGGAGAGCACTTCGCTACATGTGACTGTCAATAGCCAGATGTTTTGAAGCTACTAAGTGTGGACGGAACTCTCATGAGAAAATGAGATATGTCAAAGATGCGATTGCCGTTGTCGCTACTTTTGTAAACATCCATCCCTAGCGGTACTGAGCATGCTCTACCGATCAACTCTCAACGGAGATGAGAAGAAAGCGAGGTCATAGATTTATGCATGCTGGGCCAGATGTGGCCTGGTATTAAAAATTTCTGTAACCCAAACAACAACTCCGCTGTGGACCTTGTTACTGCAGGTTGTCCTTACATGTGTTTCTGACAACTTCCCAGATGTCCCACATCTTTAAATTTAAGCATTATGATATGTTTCCCTACATATGCCAAATGTATGAGACTGAGCTCTGTCTTTTGCTTTATTTAGCTGTTTTTCTTTTTGGTGTGTGTTTGTTTCTTATCTCTGAGTCTGTGGCTGCAGCAGTCTAGCAGAATATATGCCTCTTCACATTACATGGTGATACAGCCAGTAATAGAGCCACACACACAACAGATGCATGCATGTGTGTGTGCATGTGTGCAAAATATGACAAAATATTTTATCTGCCTCCCTATTCATTTATAAATCTCTCCCTCTCCCAATCTCTCTCTCTGCCTCCTTCTGTCACTCTCTTTCTTAGGCTCTCGCCATGGGAATGATGACAGAGTATTATCACTATATCTTCACCACACTGGTAAGTAGAGAAAGAGGCTCTGCTGCACAGTCGCTTTGTCATCAGGTCTAACTCAGAGCTCCATATTCCCATGAAGATTTGTTGAATGCCCAAAAAATGAGATGATGCTGCTCTTCAATCTTCACTTTTTCAGCTATTCATTTTATATTTATTACCTTAGATCATTCTTTTCCCCCTTTAATGTGTTCTCCAGAGCCAAACAAAATAATAGGTTTCTTCTTATTCCTAGTACTTCCTTTCCTTAATGTAAATGCTCTTCATCTTCCTCTTACTTTTCTCCGTTGTTTGTTCTTTCTTATTCCTTTTCATCTTGTTGCTTTTGTTCAGATCTTCCTCCTCCTCCTCCTCCTCGCTTCACATTTTGTCTTCCTCATGGTTTAAAAAGAGCTAGATATGTCACACTTGAGTCAGCCTTGCTGCCAATCTGACCCAGTGGCCAACTGCGGTACTGCATCGACCCATTCACACACTGTGTGGCAGTGAAACCTTAAACTGCAAACAATCTCAAATATGACTGTCTGTATTATGATTTTTTAAAACATGAACATTGTTTTATGGCAGCCGGAGATTTATGGCACCTAGCATACAAACAGTGAGCAATAGACTTCACATTAGTGTGTTTATTTGCCAATGAGTTTTTGGGCATTTTACTTGTAAAAAGTAGCCTTTGTTATCTATACTGGATACTTGTTTCAACCAAGTAATCGCTCAACCCTAGTAGTAACAGAAGTAGTACTTGCAATAGTAGTGATTCTTTGTCACAGTGGTTACAGCCAGTTTGAAATCTTTGAAATGTGGCATTCATAGACAGATAACTGACTGATGTCATAAAAGTGAAAGGATTAGTACAGTCAGTACTTCCTGTAAAGAGACACACAAGATTGTGACAATTCATTTTTCACCTAAATGTGAACAGCAGGATTCAGACTCTGTAGCTCTTTTGTGGCTGTATAAGTGATCGCCTTCACTGTCTATACAATAAGATCCAAAACAACACACGTATGTACACACACTAGTAAACATTGTTCTAAGCTCCCTGACTGTGTGAACTTGCTCTCAGTCCGTGTTCCAGGTGAAAGATTTGACTCAAATCAAACTCTCATTGAAGCTCCATCCCACTCTCATCCTGAAGAGGCTGCTTGTTGCTTAGGATCAAACCACTGTCTCTGTGTGGTCCGCCTCCCCAGTCCTTTACTTTTTTAATGTCAAGTTCCTTTGAAAATTTCAACTGTCTGTGCTTTTCATCACTGCGGCTAAAAGGGATCATTTTCAGTTTGAAATGAAACATCTAAATGTGTATACTTTTCCTTTCTGCAGCTATTGAGTGTGACAATTTATGAGAGATAATTAAATATCCCTCTGGTGTTTTCTAGAAGATGAAAAGTAAAATACAAACATGAATGAGGGAGGGGAGGTACAGTAGGAACAGACAGAGGGGTGTCTTGTGATTCCCCACTGTTGTGTTTGGCAGTCAGAGTCCAGTGCTGACAGCCTAATTCTCCCAACAGAGTGAACAACCCAGCCATACTGAGGCCACATATGGCAGCCATTTTCCTGCCAGATTTTTCTTTACTGTTCACTTACCTTCTGTTAACTGGTTTGTCTAATACTGTATGCAAGGTTAGGTCAATCGTGGATGGCTTTGTGAAAGATTTGATAAGGCTCACCACTGTCATGATGTATGTAATGCAGTTTGGTAGATTGAGTTATTATAAAACTCACTGCTGTAATTCTGATAATAAAAGTAGGGTTACATTTTAAAGAGATATTTAAACAAATATAAACACATGTTTCTTATAACAACTTTCTTATACAAAAGATATATTTATCGTATTTTTCTTATTTGTATTATACACAAAAGTTCTTTTACAATAGGCAACTAAAATTGTGCAATATATATTATCTATGGGTTTCCCTTCTCTTTTTTTATATTAAAAAGTTTGATATTTAGATATCTATTTTTTGACTGTACATTCTGCCTCTCCTCTATTCCTGTTGTGCTATGTGCCATTGTAATGAAATTTCATTTTTGATGCAAATCAAAAGTCTAAGTTACTTTGAGAGTAAAATGAAAATATGGATTTACATCTTATATCTTTGAGATTTAGTCTGGTCTTGCCTGGTTTAGCAAAAAAGACTGGGAACGGTGAGAAACAGCTAGCCCGTCTCTGTCCAAAGTGTAAATATACACCTACCAACACCTTTAATGCTGACTTATTTACATCATATATTCAATTCAATTCAATTCAATTCAATTTAATTTTATTTGTATAGCAGCAATTCATAACAGAAGTTATCTCAGGACACTTTTCAAATAGAGCAGGTCTAGACCGAACTCTTTAAAACATTAATTACAGAGACCCAACAGTACCACCATGAGCAAGACCTTGGCGACGAGGGCAAGGAAAAACTGCCTGTTAAAAGGCAGAAACCTAGGACAGATCCTCCGGCTCTAGGTGGGTGGTCGTCTGCCTTGACCAGTTGGGGTGAGAGAGAGAGAGACAGAGAGAGAGACAGAGACAGACAGACAGTTGCATAGCATCAACAGTGGCAACAACTACACTTATAGTAGTATATATATATGTTGTTTAAAACTATAATATGTAATATTTCCACATTAAAATGTTTCTAATAAATAGTTTGCAGCGTGTGCAAAGTGTCAGTGGAGGATGCAATAGAACTTGAAACTCAATGATGTTTCTCACAAAAATGTTATTTGGGAGTCGTAGTTGAATCCTTCTCTATATGCCTTATATACCTTTGACTTTTTTAATTAAGGAACCACGTCCACATAAGCTTCAACTGTGGCAGTGTCAGTCCAGGCCATTAGCCATGAGCACAAAACGCCCCAAATCTGTCTTATCATTATTGTGCCTTGAAAAGCACAATACTATTATGCCGTGTGCTTATTATTCTTCTGTACAGCGTAAACGTGCGGCTCGGTGAGGACATTAGTGCAATGACTTTGCTAAGTTTCACCAAACAGTTTGCCGATAAATCGCCAAAAACCGGTCCAGAAAATGAATGGGTGTGTATTGGTAGAATGCCCGACTGATTTCAACTGCCGTTTCGGTTAGAGTGGAGTGAGAAAAATCTGTCGAAAAATAAATTTGTAAACTGCTCTCAAGGCCAGAAATGTCACTCTACAGAAATCATTTATAGATAGAAACGTAGGTAAATCCGTTGGGGTCGCAGTGATACCACTGCTGAAGCTGTCAGAGAAATAGTTTTGGCGGGAAACGCACTGATGCGCCAGCAACGCCCTCTCACGGCCCCATCTACTCCCATGTTAATTGGAGAATAGAAATTGAACCTCTTCTTTCTCAATGTCCCAAGGTCACATTTTTTAACTTTAGCCACTCTTTTCAGTATTAATCCAATGAAAGTTGAAGTTGTTCTCAATTTGCTAGTGCTAGCTAGCTAAGGAGAATGACTTATTTAGGTATTAATATCCTAGCGCTAGCTAGCTAGCATGCTAGAGAGGAAGACATGGTATTAATATATGGGCCAGAGCAAGGCACAATCAAAATTTCTTTAGGAATTTTCTAGTTGATAACTAAGACGCTGGTCACTAAATAGGATGCTATCACCTTTTGGGGTTTGTGGAACATTTCTTCTTTGGAGTTTTTTCTTGATAACTTTCAATAGGAAGGCTGTTGATCAACGTCTATCTTGCCTATCTCAAATGTATTTTCCTTCTTTCCAGGATCTGTTTGCGCTGGACGTGGAGCCTTACCGATACAGTGGTGTGAACATGACAGGCTTTAGGATTCTCAACACTGAGAACAGCCAAGTGGCCTCCATCATTGAGAAATGGTCCATGGAGCGTCTTCAGGCTCCACCTAAACCTGACTCTGGTCTACTGGACGGCTTCATGACCGTGAGTCTAATGAAGAAAATGAATGAGTTGTGAATGATTGAATCACTCTGTCCATCCTTCAGTCAATGTGTAGCAACAGTCACTCAAACTCTGTGGTCACTTTCAAACCTGTAGTACGGTTCATTTGCTCTTGAACAAAGAACATATTATATTGTTGCCCTTTACACTGCGTGCACAATTATTAGGCAAGTTGTATTCCTGAGGATTAATTTAAGATAAGAGTCAATCCAAAAAAGTTAATAAACCTCAAACCTGAGTATTAAACAAAGGAAAAAATAGTTTTGGCTTTCTCAGGAGAATATCTGTGTGCAAAATTATTATGCAACTAAATGAAAAACTGGGAAATTTTCCGATCTCACTTGTTTATTTTCATTTATTAGACTAAAAATAACAAATTATTATTGTCATCTGTAATGCCTTTGCTGGCTAGCCACACAGTGGGGTACCCGGATGCATGTGATGGAGCATTGTCCTGCAGAAAAATCATGGCCTTCTTGAATGATGTAGAATTTTTCCTGTACCACTGCTTGAAGAAAGTATCTTTTAAAAACTGGCAGTAGGTTTGGGAGTTGATTTTAAGTCCATCTTCAGCAGAAAAAGGTCCAACTAGCTCATCCTTAATAGTAGCCCATACCTGTACCCCACCTCCACCTTGCTGGTGTCTGACTCGAAGTGCAGCTCTATGCCCATTAGTGATCCAGCCACAGGCCCATCCATCTGGTCCATCAAGAGTCACTCTCATTTAATCCGTCCATAAAACCTTTGAAAAATCTGTCTTCAGATATCTCTTGGCCCAGTCTTGATGTTTCAACTTATGAGTCTTGTTCAGGGGTGGTTGTGTTTCAGCCTTCCTTATCTGGGCCATGTCTCTGAGCACCGAACACCTTGTACTTCTGGACACTCCAGGTAGGTTACATTTCTGGAATATGGCAGCACTGGAGGTTAATGGGTTCCTAGTAGCTTCACGTTCAATTCTTCTCGTGTCTTTAGCAGGTAATTTGTGTCTTTTTTTTTACTATTCTGTTGACTATTTGCAAACAAAACCTTTGATTGTTCAGTGATCACGCCTTTAAACCTTAGCTACTTCAAGAGTGATGCATCCCTCTGAAAGGCATTTTACAATTTTTGACCTTTCAGAGTCTGTTTGGCCCATTTTGTCTGAGGTAAAGAAGCTGCCTCATGATTATGCACAACTTGATACAGGGTGTTGATCACCTTAGGCCACACCCTCCCTCATTACACAAATATACATAACCTGATAATGCTTTATATAGCTTGGAGTTGGGAAATATGCATGAAAATAATGATAAATTCAAGATACTCACTTGCCTAATAATTGTGCACGCAGTGTAATTCTGGTCCATTTCGTGTTCATGCTAGCTTATCACAAATGAACCAAGAGGTGTAAACTGACAAATGACAAAAAGATTTTGTGGCTACATCATAAACACTACATGCCAGATACTGAGGGTACCTGTTGCTCTTCAGATATGTTCTGTTATTAGAATTAGCTGTAAAGATGACAACTAGGCTGGAGATATCAGAAATGATGACAACAGTTAGGAATAGGACAAAAACAAATCATCTTACCATACAGTAACTAACCATTACTGTCAACAAGATGTGGCTGCGTCAAATTCCGGCTCTGCTCCAGCTGTTGACAGCTGCTTCCATCCTACTGGTGGACATATGTTTTGAAAAAGAGCTTGTTTGTTTCTGTCACTTTGACAAAATCTGTGAAGCAGAGACAGGAATGCTACAGTTTTCCTTCTACTATAGTATAGAGTGGTTGCACTAAAGTGCAGCCACAAAGTAACTGTTATCAGATCAATCATGAATGATCTACAAACAGGTGTTCAATATGTCAGTAAATAACCCTGGAAATGTGGCTACTAAAGAACAGACTGCTTTAAACTTTCATTCTCAACTACTGGGCAGTGGCCCACTGGTGTGCCTCAGAGCACCATCTAATTGTGTCCAGGCAAATTGTTAGATTATAATATATATTACAAAGCTAGTTATTTTTACATCTAAATGTGCTCAAGAATTCACATACATGAGACGGCAAATAACACTGAGAAAATATGACCCTGAATACATTTCATTTAGATTCAAAATGGCAGACAGTGATGCTGAGCTGAAAGCACCCCTGCTTTAGATGCCTTGCCTCTGATACACTTTAAGTGGACACTGAAATCCACTTGGTTGCAGCTGCATCCAATGGAGATTAAATTTTAAAAATTCCAATACCAGTACCAATACAAGTAGACTACTTCATTTGATACCTGGTGTCGAAGAAACCATTGGCCTTGCGAACGTTGCGGCTGTCCACCTTGAAGTTTTCTACACGTTGGTGCAGTATCATCTTCATCGTATTCTCAGTTTTTCCTGAAATATTCCTGCATTTTATGCATTTATCTTTATCAGGCTCCAGGCAGGTAATATAGCCATACTTTCGAGCATTTAGATGGCATCTCGGCATGCTGAACTGCCAACTCAGTAAAATTCACTGCACTCAATTTCACCTCCACAGACTGTACGTTTTCTGCTAGCTGTACCTGCGTAAGTGGGCCAATCACACGTCACATGAAATGCTTGCAGTGATTGGCTCAGAGCAAAACCATACAGTCATTCTTTTTCTAGATGTGTCTGTATACAGAAAGGATCAGATGCAGGTATTTTTGGAGAATACTGCAAGTGATGTGGGACTGTGGTATTTCTTACCCCAGTTGACCAATGGGCCAATCTACTGGTTTGCTGGTTTCTACAGACATAAAGTCACCAAAAATATAAAGCATTGTTCTGGACATAATAGACTTGTTAGGGTTGATGTGCAGTCTCTTACTGTTACTTCCCAGTCATCCTGAGGGAGTCAGATGGAAAACCTCTGTGCCACGAGTTGTGAGCCCCGGGTGTTTAAGAAGAGTCTCTGTCACTGTGATCTGAAACTTCTCTGATCAGAGCACACTGCCTGTAATAACTGTTCCTCCACACTGCTTTCATTCCACTCTTATCTGGGAACCCTGCCAAAAAAAGTCAACCCACCAGAGACAAGGAATGGGAAGGAAAATAGAGTAATGGAGGAGAGAAGAGAAATGAGGGGCATGAATGAAAGAGAGGAGAAGAAGAAAAAGAAGAAGAAGAAGAAGAAGAAGAAGAAGAAGAAGAAGGAGAAGAAGGATAGAGAGTGGGTGAAGGGAAGGCAGAAGTGAAATCAGAGTCCTTGTGTTTTACTCCCAGAACAACTGTTGAGGTGTTAAACATGAGGCCGATGTAGCTGCTTGGTCTGATTCCAGTTGGAAAGCACTGACGGCCGCAGTGGCAACATGTTGACTGCTGATTGAAAACAGTGGCTTACCTCTAGGGAACAGATTCCCTTTTTTTCCCCTAAAAGAGCGAGATCTTGCTGAGTCATGTTTCTGGATTGATATTGGAGAGTGGGTGTTACTCAGTTTAAGCCCCTTTTGTTGGATTTGTGGCTCAATCAATACTGTTTCCCACTTGAGACCTGAAATGGACTGTGTGTGTAATAACTGTACCTTTTCAGAACACAAAAAGCTTGGAAAGAGTGCCTTTACAGCTACTAGCTTCTAGGACAAGCTGCTGCATGGAGTCCCAATGTCAATTTGATGTCTTAATTCCACATAAAGAAGGAGAAACTAGGGAAAATAAAATATCTTCCTCATCATCTTTGTGTTCATATTCATCTCTTTCACTTTCTCTGTGGAGAGTCATCAGGCGAGCATGGCTGGGTGGTTATTTTTGGATCAGTGACAGGCGAAGATTTATGTGTGTGAGGAGTGTGCTGTGACCCTGCTCATCAGTGAATTAATGGCATATGAGTTTGAAGGTGGGGATTGATTAATTAGACAAATGGCAATCAGTCAGCAGCTAATGCATATTGACATGGTGAAAGGTTCCGTAAACGTTTGATTAACGGCTTCATTTGTGTGCTGTATTTACGGTTTTGTGTGCTTAAGTAGTGAACTGCTGATGTGCTGTAACTTATGGACTTGCAGATTGTGACAGATTGCACTGAGTGAGCAGTCCGGAGACTCCACTTTCTCACTCCGCCTCTCTACTCAGCACCATTGTTTCACATTTATAGGTTGAAATTGCAGTTTGAACAGTATGGCTTATTGGAGAATAATGTTTAACCTGCTTTAATGTTTAAATTTAAAGGTCTAGTGTGTTGGATATCTAGTGGTGAAGTTGCAGATTTCAATATGTGAATATAGCTCAGCTGAAGGAGAACAGTTCAACATGGTGGCCTCCATGGAAGGCAACATTAGCCCATTCTAAGGTAACAAAAGCGCAACAATTCATATTTTCAGGTGATTATACAGTAATGAAAACATAGCTATGAATATTATATCCCATTTCCATATAGATCCATTAGATAGAACTAAATGCTACGCACTGGATCTTTAAATAAAAACACAGGTTGTGCTGGGTAGTTAGTAGTGGTATATTATTAAATCTGCAACAAGGTGTAAGGTGTGTAAGCTGAAACTTGTGCTGTTCTGCTTCTGCTGATGAATGTGCAATTGATCTATGCCCTTCCTTTACATCTTTCAAATTGTTTTAACGTCTGCTGGCATGTATTTTCTTTAGTTTTTTCAAAGTTCTATTGTGTTGCAATGTTCAGCATTTATCCTGCTGGAATTTTGGCTACAATGGATGTATTTTATATTAATTGCAGGCACATGATGAAGTCATTATCAGTATTACCTAACTATCCTTGGAAATCATAGCTTGACAAAATAATCTCATGGTCCACTTACTATAGAGATTCTTAACCATATTCCCACAGTTATTGAAGACCATACGATGTCTCTCTGCTACAAAATAAAAACAGCAAAGTGTCCATATTTCATTACAACATCTTCAAACACATCTAATCTTATTGTTTCACTCTTTTTACTGATTCATTCTCACCTTGCTTACCCACCTGATCAGTGAGAGTTGGGTACTAATTGATTACATGTAATCAGGATTAC